TAGTAGCGATGCCCTTTGCTCCTAGTAGCGTTCTTGCTCCTAGTAGCTTCTTTCCGTCTTCTTGTTCCTAATAGCTTCTTGCTCCTAGTATGGCCAGGAGCCCTGTTGGTAGCGGTTTTAAATACCAACATGACAGGGACAAGCAGGGACCGGTCAACCGGACCGTATCCGATGAGCGCCAACCGAACGGTACGACTTCCGAGCGGTACGACCGTGCCATCTTCCTTTATTGAAACATTCGATTATATAATTGAAATGGATTTAATTCATTCCTTTTAACTCAATTGAATTGAGATTAGTTTAATTCAATTGAATTTAGTTTAACTTACTTCAACTAAATTGAATATTTCAATTGAGTTACATTTAAAGATTAACGTTAATTGAATTTAACTTAGAAGTTAATTTGATGTTGTGAATGGTTATCCCAAGATCGCGGCCCTTTTCTTGAGCCAACATGTTGATCGTCAACCGATGTATGTTTGGATGTGAACAGAGAGTCAAAAGTGGGGATTCTTGTCCGCACTCCCCCTGCTGTGATCTTTCGTCACAGCACTCACATAGCCCCTGCCACAAATCAAACTCGCTGTGTTCTTTGACCATCATTTCTTTCAGAACCCAACTGCAAAGATGGTCTTTGCGGCAGCTCCCAAAGGCATCCAAGCCTCCCGCCTCAAGAGCTGCCTAGCCTGAGCTCCAAAGCAGCCTCTCCCCTTGCCGCAATCTCGTCATGCACACCTCACACAGCTTGTGACCTCTCACTTTGAGATCCCGGATCTTCCACCTTGCAATGTTCTCCATTGGCGACCAGAGATCTCGCTCCATAGCCCCAACGTTCTGGGAAAACTGCTGGTGGCTCCAGCTCGCAGTACTTGCGATGGCCTCCAACTGACCAATGGCCTCCCGGAAAACGGAAACCGACCAGACCGCAGCACGTCTTTCCGGTGGGCGTTGACCGCGATGGACTCCCGAGGCATCGGAAACGCTTCCTCCGTGTTTTCCGAGGAAAAACTTCTCAGAGAACGCTGATCGCACGTCTTCCTGGCTCCCATTTGTTCGTTTGAAGACGACTTTGACTTGCAATCTCACACCTAGATTGGTACACTGAATGGGCTTCAGAGCTAGACCAACTACTTGGTGATTGTTTGCTTGAAAATGTTAATGGCGCTGTAGCGCCATGTACAGTTGCGCATGCCTGCATTGAAATTCGTTGTTTATATCAGAATTGATGAAAACGACTTCTTGATTGCTTTTTTGTGTTTTATCTGTTTAGCGTTTCTTTTTCCTTTTCTCTTTCGATTCTTCGCCACCTTGCGCTCCAACAGCATGCTAGACTCGCTAGACTGAGAAGTCGAGAAGTTGCCGAAGTGGGGAATTGGTCGAGAAGCGCAACATCCACCCCACCCGAAGTAGGACTAAGCTGTCCGGCCAAGTCGAAATTCGTTCGGGATCGATCTCCTCCCGCATATTTCAGCACGTCGCCCAAGTAGACGTTGTACTACTTCGTCACCAAGTGACGGAATGCAAAGGCGTCCACCACACTGACAGCGGTAATGAGCTACTAGTAACAAGTGCATCGCTACTAGGAACAAGTGCCTTGCTAGTAGCAACACTGGTTGCTATTAGAAACAAGTGCCTTACTTACTACTTGTGCACTCTGAGAGCGGCAATCACCGACTCGTCGCTTGTCACCCAAGACGAGGAGGCAGACCGAGGCTCAGCGCCCGGCCCCACAGCCACATCGAGTGTGACGCCGCAGCCATTGGGAGGACCAGCTACAAGCTAAAACAAGTCAAATGCAGCGTTTTGCACATTGAAAAAATGCCAACTTCGATGCAGCGTGCCATAACGCGTGCTAAGCCCCACAAAAGCCTTCGGCTCGGACTAACTCGAGAGGAGGAGGCGCTTTGTGGGTACCGTCTGACCCACCGAGTCCCATCTAATCACCTCCGTCTCCAAAAGCCCACGGAGCGTCGGCCTCAGGTGTAGCTTGTAATTTTAATTAGATTAGCATTAATTTCTAAAGCTTCTTGTTACTAGTAAGGCACTTGTTACTAGTAGCGATGCCCTTTGCTCCTAGTAGCAAACCGAGTCCCTTGTAGCTCCAAGATCTGCTCTGCGGTCATTCCCACTCTCTTCCCGCTCCACGGTTGGAAGACAGTCAAAATGGCCAGACGCATGATGACGCTGACCCAGGAAGTGCTGCCAACAATTTCCATTTCTTCCATCCTAGACTCTTAGACCTTGACATCTTTAATTAACTTCAGTTCAACTAAGAGTCTCGTTGGTTCCGTCTCGTTTCTCCTACCGTTCTTTTCTTTTGCCTTCTCTTTCTCACGCAGATTAACACTTGATGTGAGGGCGGTTTCACTGAATTTAGGACATCTGTTCGAAGTTCGCCCATCTGTTAGGCCCATTCTACTTCGGCCATTCCCGCATGGCACCGTGACGGCGTGTTGCACAGTACCTCGCGAAAAGCAGAAGCCATTCATTCGGTCAATCTGAGTCGTTTCCGTTTGGGCGGAGCTTCACACCTTCGACTGCGACTGAGTCGGGCTTTTTCCGCTTCACTTTGACCGTTCTCCAGACACGTTCGACAAACTCCGCTTTGACGCACTGCGGTTGCGCAGGATCACTTGGCCTGGCAGCAGAAGAAAGGTGCCACGCTCAGGCCGTTTTCCATGCGCCTGTTGACAAGTTTGAGGTCAGCTCCTTTGCGCAGATTGTGGGAAATTCTATGCTGGAGAGCGGGGTTTGCAAGATCACCAGCGCCAAAAACATGGCAAGGCTGGAGACACCGACCAGGGAACTCCGCGATGCGGTGAGGGAGAAGCCGACCTGTCACCCGCTGGAGAAACCTTCGATGCGCCGGAAGTCGTTGTCCAGCGCGATTCTTTTTCTTCGCAACGTTTTGGAGCGAAGTGTGGGATGTTTCGCTGTCACTTGTCTGAAGGCAGTCGAAGCAGCATTGGCCGTGGTCTTACCGTTCTCATGTCTCCTAAACGCATGATTGTTCATTCCGTTTCCGAGGATGCCGTGGAACTTAGTCGTTTGGCTCTTGTTCTGTACCGAGACCGACCAGGCTCCGAAAGAACGGTGTTGGCTTTTTAAGACGAACTTGTTTCTAACAGCAAACATTGTTACTACTAGTAAGGCACTTGTT